TCTATGCTTATTCCCTAGACTGTATGTATTACAAGCTCTCCTTTCTTTTCTCTATGTATGCTCATAGCAAAATTTAGTTTCATTTTGTCAGTCACAGACAAGGCCAGGATCACACAGGCTGAAAGCCTTGTGGACGATTCTGTTTTTGTTAATACTCTTTCAAGGGGTCAAACCCTCCTCTCCTCTTTTGGCCTGTATAGATCCTTCAGACATGACCATTAATCCTTGGTATTTGGGGACATGTAATTATGTCACTAGAGAAACTGATAAAGTCATACTGAATAAGCTTGTTCCAGTAGTAGAGAGTGGTGGTCTTTTTTGTATAACTGTTTTGATGAAAATATATCTGATCAACTGAGACTTTAAATGATAAAGCTGTGTGCAATCAAAAGACACTTAAAATGGGGAATATATGTCTGATCAACAGAGACTTAGAACATAGGGAAGCTATGTCTGATCAATAGAGACTTAAAAAATGGTTCTTGGAAAGTTGATATCAGGAATTGACAGGTGCATATCAGGAAAGGTGACTTAGTCCAATATACATATCTCTGTCTGCAATTTAGAAAGCATTAAGACAATGGGGTGCTATGTGGTGACTGGACTTCTACCCACAAATGATTAATTGTTTCACCGCATTTCCTGCCTAAAGAGGAAATTTCTGGTTCCCTTGAAGATTCAGTTGTATCGTGAGATATTTTTTCTAGAAACTGTAATATGAAAGGATGCCTTTGCTCAAACAGAAAAATGGAAGGATGTTTTGCTGAGAACAGACATTTTCTGAAGGCAGCCTGTAAAAGGGGTATGTGATGTTTTCCTAGAGCAGACACTTGAGAGAGAATGTGATGTTTGGAAAAGGTATAAATAGAACCCAGCAGACAATTGACAACGCTTTGTGCTATTGGTACCCCTTGCCACTCTGTGCTGGTCATCAGTTGTTGTGACTTCATAGAGAGAAACGCCACCAAAGAACTTTTGGTGGTGTTCTGAAGGCTTCTTGCTGCTTCTTGGGCCAACTGGCAGAATGTCACATTTTCTTCTTGATTGAACTGCTGTTGCTAAGTCCTGAATGGTCTTTGTAAGTGGATGGAGCTACCCTGCTGATTCCTGTGAACTGAACTGCTAATGTCCTGACAATAGAGATTGGATTAGCTCGAAAGAACTATTTCTAAACAGGTCTGCATCTTCCTATGCCCTATTAAACCTTTCCTTTCTTCTACATCTTGTTGATGGTGGGCTAGAATGGAGGTTAAATCATGTAAGTACAGTTATTAAAGTAAGGTTTTGGAAAGTATAACCCACCAGCTATCAATTGGGTATATACTCATGTCTACAGGACATACCTTGCTACACATTTATTTTTGGCTTGCTAACATAGTGCTACATAGTGCAAAATAAGGTTAATGGGTAACTGACCCATTGGGAATGGGGAAGGAGGAAGAGAAACTACTGGGGGCTTTTGAAATGAGGGAAGTTTTTGAATGCTGATGTTATGATTTCTTTTAATAAAATATCCAATGATATTACTGCCCAGGGGAGCAGGATTGTGGTTGTATAAAGATGTCCAAGCCATTTGGGGCCACTTGCTTGAAAGTCAGTAGATGGTCAGAAAGCCCCTTCCCAGTCTCAGTACCTGAATCTTGCAGCTGGAGCTGTTATCCAGCAAGAAAGAATTAGAGACTAGGAAGGAGGATGGGAGGTAGAGGAGTGAAGGTAGAAGAGTGAATTGATATCATCTTATCAAGGTTTCTGCTGCTGCGATAAATATCATGACCAAAAGCAACTTGAAGAGGAAAGGGTTTGTTTTAGCTTACAGTTGTAGTCCATCCAGAAGTTAACTCAAGGAAGGCAATGGAAGCAGAAACTGAAGCACAGCTTTGGAGGAATGCTGCTTAGAGGCTTGTTCCCTGTTGTTTGCTCAATCTGCTTTCTTATGTACTATCCAGGAGTACCTGGCCAGGAGTGGCACTGTCCACCATGAGCCAGGCCCCTCTACATCAATTGTCAATCAAGAAAGTTCTCTACAGTCTTGCCTAAAGGCCAATCTAATAGAGATATTTTCTCAGTTGAGGTTTCGCTTCCCAGATAACTCTAGTTAGTGTTAATTTAACAACAACAACCATAATAACAAAAACCAAACAGCCAACCAACCAAACAAACAAAGTAACAAACAGGACAGACATAGACAACGTACTGTGTATGGGTATGTCACGGTAAATCTCTTTAACCTGTATAACATTTGCTAATGTTTAAAATAACAACTAAAAACTAAAATTCAAACTGATAGAAGAAAGACTGGATCAAAGCAAATATTGCCCTAGACAGGATTCTTCCTTGTTTCTAAGTTCCCCTGAATATGATGCCTACATCTCAGCTCTACTAATTCACAGGGTCAGCCCACTTCATTGTATCTCATGCCATTTAAATGCACAGTCCATGTTTATGTTATTCTGTGATTGTATAGAAAACTTACAATCATGTGATTTATGTCAGTTTTTTAAAAGCTTAACCAGGAAGCTTTTAACAGATATTGCATTGGCTTTTTTCTCAAACATAAAACTTTTTGATTCCCAAGTGTTCACATTTGGCAGTTATAAATTTTGACTCAAACATAGAAAATTCTAGATGTCATGAAGATCGGTAGGGCCTGAGGAGAGCAGGTCTATGGGCAATTGTCATCATGTGCTCGTGTGTGTGTTGTACCGCTCCACTGAACAGGACCTCTCTACATATGCTCTGTATCATGACTATGATGAGGTGGCACTTCACTTCTTTAACTTGACATAACATTGTAGTGTGCCAAACCTGCTCTTTGTCCACTTTATCATTTAGTGTTTGGGTGTAGTGTCTTTTTATAATAATAAATACAATGAATTTTTGGTGTTGATATTTCTGCATTCTCTTTCTATACCCTCAAGTATGATTAACCTTCAACTCAGCAAGTGAAACATTTAATTTATCAGAATAAAACTAGCTAGAGGGCCAATAAAGAAGATAAAATCACCAAGTGTAGTTCCTAGGTACTCTATCCTGAGGTTTCGACAATGGAGAAATTTCTTAAAGAAGAATCTCTCTCTCTCTCTCTCTCTCTCTCTCTCTCTCTCTCTCTCTCTCTCCTTCCCTACACTTCTCTTTCCCTTCCTCCCTTCTCTTCTCATACTTTCATACTTCTGCTCTCTTACCTACTCTTTCCCTGTTTCTTACATTTTGTGGGCGGAACAAATTAGACTTTATTCTATGCTGAGATAGAGTGAATTCCATGTACAGTACAATCTCAGGTTTACTCTTACTCCCACCTCTCATATTTGACTATGAATGGTCTGAAATTAAGACCATTATTCTGTTAACGCTGCTGATCCCAAAATCAAGTATCCCAACTGGTACCCAGACAGTGTTGCTAAATATTGAATGCTCATTCAGATTCAGTTTAATCCATACTTTAATTTATTATTTATGTTATTTCTTCCAGTTTTTTAGACAGTATTTACAATAGAAAAAGAAATAGAAGAAATGTGCACAAACATCAGGAAAAAGTTAAAATACAACAGTTCCTTTTTATTTTGAAATAAAAAAGTAGTAAATGTCTTAGTAAATGTTGAGTATTCTTGGTTAGATTTTCGTGAAACTTTTGGTTTCACTTAGGACGTAAGAAAGGTACTTCATCTTGACATGTCTATGTCAAGTGATATGCCATGTACTTAAATGCAAAAACAAAACTATACAAATAAAATATGGGTTTACATAAGACTTTCTGTGGAGGACAATATCTTGTATGCTCTTTGGGATTTCATAGCAGGTGACTTGTCTTCATGAACTTATGAATAAAATAGATGCCATAAAGTCCCATGCCACACAAACAGACTAAGATCTCAGGCACTAACTAGTCCCTGCTGCAGCCAAGTGGAAAGGATAAGAAGAAATGTTGCCTATTTGCTCCACTATGATCCTATGAAACATTCCTCTAGTTTTTTTTTTTTTGAGAAGCTATCTGGGGCTCTTTGACCACTACATAAATTGCAATTTACAGGTCTGTGCTTTTGCTGAAGCAATATCAAGAGCATTTTACTGAACCCAGCCAGTGAACATGCTTTCATGCTTGCTTATTAACCAACACACACATTTTAAGATATTAAGCATTGCTGTCACACAATTAATGGCTTTTAAAAATCGTGTTAAAGACTGATCTTCTGCTATATAGTTTCTACTTAATTTTTATGAGGTCAGTAGTTTCTCATATCAGGGTTGCAAAGTGACTCTGAAGATATACTGGATTTATTCTTTGAGTCCTGAGACAGGAAAAGCACATTCTACAAAAAAAAAGAAAATATATCAAGTGTCAGACTTTACTCAGATTTAACTGAATAAATGTGTAGCTATTTACCTCTACCTACAGATAAATAGGTACAGTTATAAATATAATTTCCTTTGAAGTTTTACATAGGCTTCATCTTTATTTAAAGATGAGACCAGTGCCCCATTAAGTTCCTAAAACTATTTCATGTTCATCATACAGTATTTATTCACAATAGACTTTTATTTATTCGTACTTTTATTTATTCACTATTTATTCATAATAGGACTTTGGCTGGTGAAAAGTTTTCAGTTGAGCTAAGCTCGGTGTGACTTGATTTAACAACATTTCTTTACTACTTTGAGATAAGGAAGATTTTTAAGATCTCAAAGAGGGCACATTCACATGTGCAACTAGCTATTGCAAAGTTAAGATAGTTAGAGGATAGTTACCCTTAGAGAAGTTTTCCCAATCAGAAGGGAGGCAGCTGTGTTCTAGTTTGAGTGAGCAGTATAGTCGGGATTCCCTGACTACAGGAAAACTCCATGTACTGCCGGGAGATACATTTAACTTCCTCAAATTTATGATTGGATTTTTTGGGAAAAAAAAAGAACTAAGATATATGTGATGTACAACTATTTCGTGTCCAGGTATCCTTCATCATGTCTACTTCTGTCTACTCTCTCCAATATCTACTGAGGACCCTCGCTATGAAAAAACAAACAAACCACATGGTGTATATTTCAAGATGGCTGATCATTCTGTCTGACATTCTTAGTGGCATTGACTAATATATCCCAGAGGAACACCAGGCAGGTTTCAAGAGGCCTCTAGCATACTCACTCCAGAAAAAGCAGAGCGACTCTGTTTCCACCGCAGCATGGCAATGAGGACAGCCAGACCAAGCTCCAACACGCTGCTGATCAACATCAGTGAAAAGACACCCTAAATTCAGGAGAAGAGAGGTCGGTGTGATTGAGCCAACTGAAGCCCTCATACCTGGGTGGGAGGTGACTATAGAGACGAAATTGTCCCCAACATCAGAGAAGGGAAATGGATCTTCCCAAACCCACAAATGGGCTAAGTTTGGTGTCTGGTCCCTTCATTCCTTGGAGGAAGTGGGTGAAGAGGACAAACAAAGTCAAAAGCCATTTTCTGCCACTTCTCATCTCTCCTGATTGTGGATCCTGACTATCCTGTTCATTGAATGAGGGAGCAGAGAAGGGTAGTGACCCCAGGACAGAGTCAACAGCTCCTGCTCTTGGCTCACTTCTGTTTAGTGTGGGGCTGTCTCTACTTTTCTAGTTTCGGTCTGATCTCTTATCACATCTCCTCTGCAAAGATTTTTGAGGGTTAATGAGGTAGGGTAGTGAGGTTCTGACTAGTGCAAATATTATTTTTATCATTGTGATTTTCATAACTAAGGAAGACTCCCTGGGCCTAGCTCCATAAGAAACTGAGAAAGCTTGGGTGGAGAACTGACTATCTATCTCATCCAGCTGTCTCTTGTTCATCTGACTTTTATGGTTACAGGACAACGAATGTGTTTCCGATAAGATGGAGGCCCTCACGTCACTGTCAGCTACTCTTCTCCATTTCCCTGTATTTCTTTTCTCATTTTACAAGCTCATCTCTTTGTGCTGTAATGAAAGCAGCAGTGAGCTCGCCCACACACAGGCTTGGTGCTCCTTGCTACTGTGATTACTGGAGAGAGTAGATGCCTTGACTTCCCCCAACCCCTGCATTTCCCACACTGTTTCTCAGCATGTGGCTGAGGTTTGCTCAGCTCACATTCATGCCTGAACCACACACATGCACCAAGGTTCATGCATTTCCTGATCATCTAGGTTTTGTTTTGTTTTTCTGGTATCTTCACTCACTACCCCATAAACTAAGACTCTTGGTTTGACAACCTCAACCTCTAAAACTGCAGTATCTTCTTCATTCTTAGGAAATATGGGGTGATCTTTATACTTTTATCATCTACGTAATTTGGTAATTTCCCTCAATATTTTGCTATTACTACATGACTCCCTCTGTGTAGAATTTTAACAATATGTTCATTCTTGCCTGTCTTCAATGGCTCTGGCTTTAACCTAAATACACAACAAGAATAAAAATAAAGAATGTCTATGAAAATGCCATGATGAAACCAGTTACTTTATATGTTAGTTTTAAAAACTAATAAATTAAAAATAGACACACACGCACACACAAAGAATGAACAGAGAGTTTTGAATCAGGGAACAGAAGAAATCAGCTGTCAAAAAACGTCTTTAAAACCTCGAATATTTCCTTTTGAAATACTTACGGTCAGAGCAGCTTTGGCTATGAAGCAGCTCTTGTTTGATGGCTCAGGACGAAAGAAACGATAATAATGTGGGGTTGTGGCTAGTTGTTGAGCTAGCTGACATTGCTGCAAGGCAGGCTCTAAAGCAGCCAGGCTGACAGAGAGGATAATGATGCCTGTAAGAGCATAGAGGACACTCAGGATGTTCAGGGCTAGGCTGCTGTGAACCTGGAATGACAACACACATCACATATGTCTCTTATTCGCTACATTATAATAGACCCAGCTGCTTATCTCTTTTAGGATCTAAAACTATAATAGCTTATTTCTCGGTGCCCTCTAGTGTCTACAAACATATAAACCCAGAAGGTAAATTATGAATGGATAAGTAGAATCTTCAGAGGCAGGAAGAAAATGTTTTTCTAACAGCTTCATCCATGACTGCAAGTAGCGTCCTGTGAGATAAGCCTGAAAATTTTCCAATAGAGTGTAGCCAAAGGTAAAAGTGCAGAACCTAAATTTTCCCTATCTACCAATACCTTCAATGATATAGTTTGAATCTGGCATGATTACTACTCCTAAAAAAATCATGTGATGAAAACCTAATTCCCAGGTGAATGCTAGTGTAAAGTGGTAGAACCATTAGCAAGTGTAGCCTGATTGAAAATTTGTCATACTTTGTTTCCCAACAGGTTCTGCCTCTCTAATGGTTCCAAAGGAACAGATTCATACAGCCATGCATGAGGACTTCTTAAAATGTGAGCCCAAATAAACTTTTCCTCTTTGTAAATTGATTAATCCCATGTGTTTGTTGCAGAAAAGTAAATCTGACTCATATTCTTAGAAACCTCCATGGAACTCTCAGGAACATAGGAGTGGCAGGTAAAGTAGTTAATCCTCCCACCACCTGGCACACTACTCTCTCAAAAGCACATACACCTGAAGATAAAGGTGAGGACATGAATTGTAGCATCAACCAGGCCCTGGGGTGTGTATAAGCATATGACTGGCTATGCTAAAGGTCAAGTGCAAAAGACTTTATGCTTTGTCAACACAGGACAAGAGATAATACAATATGAACACAAATAGTGAGAAGAAGAAGAAAACCAGTCAAGACTGGATGAATGTCAAGAAACACGACCAGATATCCCTAGACTTAGTGTTCTCAAGTAGTCAGTTCCTCAGTGACTTTCTGCTGTCACTCTGGATCTCATGCTACACCATTCACAATTTAGGGAGATAAATAAACTGATCTCAGAAGCAGCTTCCTTTCTTCCTTGGCTTATCAAATATAAGAATTGAGCTAAGACCTTTCTATGGGCTATAGTTATATGTATGAAAGTAACAGAGTATACCCAACTGTCATATACTAGATTATAATTTGGCCTGATAGGCCACTTTTCTTTTCAGGATTAAATACAGCACTTAGTTCTGATGCGTTGGAATACTAGCAAGTCGTACTCTTTAACTTCTTGACCAAATAGTCACAATTGGGATGCTGAAAGTGAGTCCTAACAAAAGTGTCATAATCCATGTGTTATAGATCAAATGTAGAAGAAAACTCCTCATGTGAACAACATCTAATCTGTTTTCTTAAGTTCTTCATTCAGTGGGTGAAATTATACAGCAAACTCACAACAGATGTACCTTTTCTATAAGCCTTTTTGTTCCACCACTGATAAATAAAATTTTAATACTTTTGTGGAAGACTTTTTGTTGTTTTGACAAAATGTCTCATGTGATCAGCTTGAGAGAATAATGAAATATTTTGGCTCATGCCATGGATCAGGCTACGATCATGGAGAGGTGTAGAGGAATTTTAATCCAGTAATATGACTGTTTTGGCAAGTGATCATATCCAAAGACCTAGCTCTGAGTAAATTGGCTGGAATGCAGACATGTCCTTAGTACACACCTTTAAAGGTAAAATTAATTTGTAGAGTGAAGCAGCATGTTTGAAAGTGATGACTAATTGAGAGGTAGACAAAGTGATGAATCAGAGAAAGATTTGACAGAAAGAGAGAAAGGATATGCCAAACTCTCATGAGAACAGCACAAGAAAGAAAATCTATTTAAGAGCAGTGGAGAGAGAGAGAGAGAGAGAGAGAGAGAGAGAGAGAGAGAGAGAGAGACAGAGAGAGAGACAGAGAGAGAGACAGAGAGAGAGACAGAGAGACAGAGAGAGACAGAGAGAGAGAGGGAGGGAAGGAGGGAGGGAGGGGAGGGGGGGCTGTGAGTGCAATGCGGTGGAGTTGAGTTTATTCATGAGTTCATGTAGTTCAGTGCAGGTCAGCAGAGACTGCTGAAGCCAGAGAATAAGGAGCCAAATTAGAACAAATTGCCAAAATTAGTTTGAGGCCAAGCAAAGCAATTCAGTTAGAAGCCAAATTGAATCAGTCAATTTGCAGAGGAATTTGAGCCAAAACAGCTGAGTGGAACTGGCCAGCCAGAGTTCAGAAAGAACTAGAAAAGGTGAGCTTATTCCGCAGTAAGCTTCCAAGATGACAATTACATCAGGTTAATAAAAGTTACATTTACAAAGAGGAGTTGGCAAAGCAGAAAAGATCACATGCCAGTGAAAGGCAAAGAGAAAAGGTTTTTATCCTTTTGATTCCTTTTAGACCATCTGAATTTTCAGCTTATAAATGGTCCCAGAGGTATGATTACTAATCTCCTAGGTATGCCCTAATGGAATGAAATTGATGATAATAGAGCCTGTTATTTATAGACAGCATCATAAGGAAGCAGATTTTTTGCATGAGATTCTTGGCCATTGATTGTTAATATCATATAGGCTTTTATTTTGGGCACTAGGGCAGGAAGAACACACACTGTACAGGGTTACAGAGAATTTAGAGTGAGTTTCTAAGTCTAAGACATAGCTATTCTAAAATTAGCTTCTAACTTTCAATATGGAGAAACTGGCTTGATGGTTTTTTTTTTTTTTTTGGGGGGGGGCTTGGAAGTGTTCTCACTAAGTTCCATTCCCATTAATGGTAGGTTATAGCTCTTGTACTCACCAAAGGCTTAGTCATCTTTTTCTCTGTGATAACAGACAGAATTCCAGAGATGACAAACTGCTCAGGGAAAAGAAAAACATTGTCAAGCCAGCATGCGAGAGTATAGAATGGCTGCATTGTTAGTATCTGGGGCCTATGAAGCACTCCAATAGGAAAAGCCCTGGTAAAAAACTGACCAGTGATTTAAGACACATGTAGGTGCATAGATTTTCCCCTTGCACATGTGATACCTAGAAAGTTTTGAGAAAAGACAAATACAAGCTTGAATCTATACCATTAAAATTAACAAGCACCCTAAAAGATAGCAAATGAGTTTTTTTTGGGAAAGAAAAATTTGGGAGGGTGAACTTTGAAGAAAAATACAAGATAATGGTTTAGAATGAAAAATACCAAGAAATTGCTGTTGTACCTCCATTAATAAAGGAATATCATTTACTCGGTGGCATACATTAAACCACCTTTAAATCTCTAAGCAAATCCAACTTGATCATGCTGAGTAATGTTTTTTATGTGCTGTCATACTCCTTGTGCTAGTATATTGATGAAGAATTTTGAAATTACATTTTTGAGAATTTCATCTGTAGTTTCCTTTTCTTGTAATGCCTTTGTTTGGCTTTAGTGTAAAAATAATACTAGCTCCCAAAATGGCTTCTGATGTGTATCCTTCCAATTTTTGTAAGACTTTGAAAATAAGATCTACTTGTTCCTTAAAGAAAAGCAGAATCCAATTTGTTAACTGCAGTGCAAGAGCTGAAATGAGCTCTTAGCTGGTGGCTCCAGACACCAGGTGAATGAAAACAAAAGGCAGGGGGCTGGATGGCATGAAGTCTTTCTTGCACACTGATCAGAAAGGCAAGCAAAATATGTTCTCAGACTCAGTAGACTTACAGAAGGTAAGTAATAGAACGTTTCTGATGATGAATTTTAAAATGCCAGGCCATCTGATGTTTCAGCCTCCAGAATTCATCAATATGCCCATACTCATAAGTGATTCCTTTTCTTGGTGATGTTGGGGGTTAAACCCAGCACCTTATACATACTACTCAAGTGTTCTGCTGTTGAGCTACTGCAGGAGCTCTAAGTGTGTGTTCTTAAAGTTAAACTAAAAGTAACTCAATGACTTTTCCCATGGGAACAATGCTGATTGACATGAGAAGACCACAGAATGGAGACGAAGAAAGCTTGAAGAATAAAAACAACAGCACAACTTCATGCAGAGAGTTATTTCAACAGTGAAACGGAGTTGAAAGTATGCATCTTTCACATGATCTAACAGAAAGGTGCCTCTCCTCTCTCATCACCTATTCATTCACCATCCTGGCCTCAATTAGATCTGCAAACATTCCACAAAAATGTTGACCAACAACTATCAAAGTCATCAAGTAGAGTCGCCATAAGGAAAACGTAAGATGTCTAGATACGGAATTCAGGAGAGGACCAAAAAGGGACAACAACTAAGGGTCCTGGACCCTGGGACAAAAGAAGAATATTCATGGACCATGGATGAAGTCAATGGATTGGCCTGACTAAAGCAGAAATCATTGACACAACAGAAAGGAAGGTTGAGCTATGGATGAATCAAAGAAAGAAATGTAAGTAGGGAAAAAATGTTACTGAGCTGTAGTAATCAGATGGGAAGCCACAGCGACAGGAAACCTTACTTGTGAGTGAAATTTGACCACATCAGTCTAGAGGAGAGCTGTCCTCTGAGAAAAGGACCTTCATTTCCTCCTGATCCAAGACAGGGAACAGTGTCAGAGGAATAGCCATTCTATCACCCTGAATGCCTACAACAAAGCCAGATCAAAAGAATGAAAGTTGTTCCTTCCTGCAGTGTGATCCACTACATGACCTTGTACAATACAGAAAGCTCTAGATCATTTGGATCCCACTTCCTAGACTTTTCCCTAAAGCCAGGAAGCCACTAAACTCATCATCGCTCAAGAGATGTCATGAAAGGGTGATATTAACAAGAAATGCTTATTTGAACTACATGAAAATATCTTCAGGATGATGTAACTGCTGTCCTTCTACACTAAGACCCTCTCTCATGACAGACAAATGAACAAGGTCTACTATTGACCTCCTTTTCACAGTAGACAGAAATGCAGCTAGGTGACAACTCCCTTCTCTCTCCTCCCCATCTTATTCCCCACAGAAGTCTACTTACAAACAAAGCTCCTATAAATGGGTAGCCAGATTTTAACAGGACTGAAAACACTGAGGTAAAATGTGGGACAGAGGGAACAGATGCCAAAATGATTCCCAGAGCCAACACCATCACAGCACACATGATCTGGATTGCCTGTTGAAAGAAGGGAGATGGCGATTAAGCCAGCAATGACAAGAAGGACCTCTCTACTTTTCCCATGGTGCCTATGCATTGACATCTTCTACAACATCCCAGTGAGCACACAGATATTGTGCAAGCTCTGCAGTCAGAGAGAAAATTCATTCTGGAGGGGATGTGGTTCTGCTAGAACCTCGGGTCTCTTTCAGTAATTTCTGTCATGCTCATGACCATTTCTGGCATCTTCTGGCTTGGGCTGAGCTTGAGTGCATAGTTAGCAAGTCTCCTGCTCCCTCTTGTGGGAAGAAGAAGAGGCATCTGACAGCCCTCCCACTGAGCACTAGAATGTGGAAACCTCACTCCACATCACTCAGATCCCACAGAACACCACATAGGGCTACCCTCTCTGGCCTGTTCCACAGCACCTTCAGTCCAGGTGTACAGTCTGGTGATCCCTTACCTCCATATTAAAAGGGAAATTTTATCTTCCTGATACCCTTCTTCACTTCACAGATTCACAACTGTTGTAATTTTGATTAAACAAATTTATAAACATTTTGTTACATGAGCTTCCAGAGGATTGTATGTATGCCCAAGACAAGACCATCAGTTCCACTAAGTTCTGGGACTGGGTAACACAAAGGCCCATGCAAATAGTGTTTCATACAGACAGCACTGACAAAACATCTCCATCTTTCCTCATAGCACAAAATATTTTCTTTCTCATCTCCCTGTACTCAAAAGTCCCTTTAGTATGTCCTGGATCAGCATGAAGAAGCAAATCAAAGGTCTTTTTGTATCATCTCTTCTCACTAAAGAGGAGAAGGATGTTCTACACTCAGCACATAGAATGGAGCTACAAATGTTTTCATAAAATACTTAGCAAGTACTCTCCAAAAATAAAAAAAAAAAATCAACAAAACCTCAGTGCCTGATGGAATAAGGTCATTGAATTACAGCCCAAGTATATTGAAACAGGGGAAATACTTGCCAATTTGTAGAACATCTTAGAGATTTAAGCAGCTTTCCAAGGGGCTTCCACTAGTCTACTGGCCACTCAGTGATCACTCTGTCAAAACTGAAGGCTTCCACCCCCAAATCTATCTCTGTTTCTAATATATAGAGCCTCACCCTCTGCCCTCCTCCCACCCCAGGGTGTTCTGAGTGGGATTTACCGCAATCACTTTGATCTCTGCCTTTAGATGTTTCTTCAGGCTGTCTTTCCTCTGGTGGGTAGGCTGGGGTTTGTCTGTTTGGGGAAAGCTGATTCCATTTGGTGAAATGACTGTGACGGTCTCATTGGTCACTACTTGTGTAATCATGATGGAGTTCTCACAGCTGGAAGAGAAAATGGACTCAGCTCTTACAAGGAACTGCACACCCAGCTTCCCACTCTCAAATCTGTAGGTGAGTACCTTACTGCGTTCTTGACTTATCCTCCAGGGGAAGAAACTAGAAGACTAAAGAAAATTTGAAAATCCAAACCTTGGATTCAGGAGGAATTTTTTCTGTTTGAGATAGAGTGTTGTTTTTAGACAATGAACATATTCAGAACATGACAACAACAACTCCCACTGAACCTAGTGTGCAGAGCCAAATGTTCACATAAAACTTGTAAACTGGAACTGTCAACTTGGCTCAGCGGACAAAGGCATTTGACTTCAAGCCTGAAGGCCTGAGTTCAATTTGCTGGACCCACAGAGCAGAAGGAGAGATCCATTGCAAGCTGTCTGTGACCTGCATATTTGCCTTAACACACATACACATGCATGCGTACACACATATACACACAAGTAACTTTACTAGAAAGATTTTCAAACTGCAGCACTCATTCCCTAGTTGCTATCATGTTCAAGCACACTGGCCCTTATTTTGATGAGTTTGATCCTCAAGTTATTCTACCAATCTTGAGATATAATTAAAATTCTCCAATTCACATTACATACTACCCTAACTACTGAGAACTATTTGTTCATTGTTTGTCTCATAGTATTGTTTTCAGCATCTGCCCCGCATATTTTATTGTATTTTAGGATCCTCACAGTAATTCTATTTCTTAGTAAAGTTATAATCAAAAATGAATTTCAGAGCCGGGCGGTGGTGGCACATGCCTTTAATCCCAGCACTTGGGAGGCAGAGGCAGGTGGATTTCTGAGTTCGAGGCCAGCCTGGTCTACAGTGAGTTCCAGGACAGCCAGAGCTATACAGAGAAACCCTGTCTCGAAAAACAAAAAAAAAAATGAATTTCAGAGGTAAATTTTGATTTAAGTGTGAAAATAACACATGGTTTTATAATGACATAGACTTGATGCTCAATACATATTTAAGATTTTCATTATTAAGCAATTGCTTAGACATAGTTGGGTGTGTGACCCCAGCTGTCTCTGACTCTGGCTTTTCTTCCTATTTTCCCATCTGCCAGAGACAGCCTATGTCTGAGTCTCTTCAGTATGGAGAAGCAGCTGAATGCAGTGTGAGATGTCCTGGAGTAGTAACCTGAGGTTCAAGGTCAGAACTGTGCCCTTGTTAGTTGGAAGGACCAAGTTGCCTGTGGAATTTGTTTCTGAGCTCAGTTTGCCTCTCCTTTCTCTTTTCCACTCTCAGCTCTTAGGCTGCCTAATTAGTGAATGGCCTAAAAGCCTTTTCAGGTACAAGAGCTCTCCTCTTGTTAGTCATGTGATCTTTGGACAGTGACCACCAAGACCATAGAATTAGAAACAGCCGGGACAGATATAAACCCAATACTCCTTCCATTTGCCCATATAGTTCTGAAGTGTCCCAATGTCTCCATTGTTTTTAAAAGCATCAGCAATTTCTTATAATGCAGTCCCAGAAATAGAGTGCTGTTCAGAGGGAAGCCTCTTCAGGGTTGCCTACCTGAGCCTGTGTGCCTTGTCACCCAGTCACTTCCAGCGGACCTCTCAGGAACCCTAAGAACCTTAACTCTGGGTTCTCTACAGTCTGATCCTTGCTTGGTTCCTTCTTGTGAACTTCTAACTGTCCCGAGCCCTTCCTTCTTCTGTGCTAACTGCACAGGAAGTAGTGCTTACAGTCTGTGGACATATGAATGTGCCTGCACTTCCTTTTACATAGACTTCCAGTAACCAGGAAAACGATCAGTTCTGGGAGACTGTGTGGGTTCCTTTCCCTTCCTATAAAATATCACCATGCCAGCACTGACATTTTTATCCTTGGGTTGCATTTTGTGTTCCTCTAATTATCCTAAATCTAAAATACACATTCAGTGGCAGAGCTGAACCTGCTGAGGATATCAGAGAAGCTTATTTCTGATGCTGATCCTCAGTGTGCATTATGCTTACATGTCTATTAGGTGCCAATGAATAGAGTGAACCGCCAAAATGTTATGAAAACTGACAAAAGTGTTCTTCCGAGCTGGTTTGCTTCTGCTAATGATAGCATTGCCTCCAGACCCTGACTGAGCATCAGTGGAGTTCTGCACATTCCATGTTGGTCCACGATGATATGAGTATCATAAAACTAAGCAAAAAAATCTGTTCTTCCCAAACTCATGAGTCATGAAACTGGTTGTGGCAGAGATGGAACAAGGAAGATGAATAGAGTTTGACATCAGATTCCCCAAGGCCACTGCTCAAGAGGAGTTAAGTAGAACGTCAGGAAGAGCAGCTATCCCAGCTCTGTAACTACTCCATGCTAGAGGAATCATGCATGGGTGATTAAAAACTAAGATCTATAGGTAAACAAATAGTATTCCACGTTTTCAAATGCTTTGATCAATGAACTTACAAAATATTTAATGATTTCTGAGAAATGCAAAAATATAGATCATTACGAGAATACACCTAAGTCTTTCTTTGGTAGCTAGTTAGCAGGAAACACCCCTCAATTAAAAAAAAGAGTGGGGGGGGGGACAAAAATAAACATGAACATCCAATGGTCTTATGACACTATTACTTTTTTTTAGCCTTTTATTGGTTCTTTGTGAATTTCATATCATGCAACACAATCCCACTTACTCCCCCCCCTTATACATGCCCTCCACCCTTGCAACCTCTCCCCAACAGAGAAAAAAGTTTCGTTGTGGAAGCTGTGGTGCGTCACAGTGTGTCCCACAGTATACCCTTTTGTCTACACTTCTTTGCTTGAAAATATTTGTTGCAATGACTCTTGGTCTGCTATGAGACTTCTGACTTCTGCTACTCTATCAATACTGAAATCTCACTGGGACTCCTCTCAGATATCCTGTTGCCCTCTGTCATGGAGATCCTATAGCTTTGGATCTGTAGGACCAGTCCCTTCACACACTCTAGCTATTCATCTTTGCTTCTCTATTTTCTCAAAGAAAATACACTATCATTCATTCTAAACCAGAATGGATAGGAGTGAGCCTGTGATAGAAAAACCTTGCAAGGGATAACTGGGGATGGGTGTGTGTGCAAGGAGTGTGCCCAAGATGACCAAAAGACTGGTATCATGGGGCCTGGACATAGAGCTAGCCTGAAATGACCATCATTCTGATGCCCCACTGGCATGGAGGTGTAAACTGTGGCTGAGATGATCCCTGCCTGGTGCCACTCCTGTGGTGCTCATACACTCAGACCCCTGGCTCCACCAAAAGGAGCAAGTAAGTGGAAGAGAAATTGAGGAGAAAGAGAAACAGAAGGATGTGGGCACAATGAAGAGAGGCAGAACTGTAGACTTGAGGGTAGTGAAGAACAGCCTGATGTGAATAGCTAGTGACGCCACTGGGGACCATGGTGAGTTCCTGGCTTGTGTTGCTGCCATGAACTACATCTGGGTCTGAGGCCCTATAGCAGCAGAAGTCTGTTACCAGCAAGGCCAAACAGATGTACCTGGTTTGGGCTGCTGCCTGGGGACATGTTGATGTCTGTCTGAGGGCTCATCTGGGCATCATGGGAGAGCTGGCTCTGGTGGGCTAACAGCAGGAAAGCTGACTCTGCCCCTAGCTAGCTCAAGTACTCAGGAGAGTAGGGCACACACTTGAGGAGTTCCAGGTGAGCATCCCTCAAGGATAGGAGAATAGGAGAGCTGGCCTTACCACACTTTCTATTGCATCAGTTATACAAAGCTAGGATCTTTAAAAAACAAAACAAAAAAAAAAAACAATTGAAAACCCCACATCTTTATTGTCTCTCAGCCTCTATGTGGGGTTCTTCTAGTTTCTGTCTTGCTCACCATCCTGGGAACCCATCCAGGCTTGCCTGGCATCGGACTGGTGGTTGTATTAGGCTCACTTTTTTCAAGAAATGTTAGGCTAGTAATCATTCAGGTTTTCAAACCTCAGAACACTGAGAGTAGACATAGCCTCTCTTCTCTCTGCCACCTACTGACACACAAGTGACACAGCAGAAACTATTATTTTATTGTTGGCTGTGACCCATGTCTGTCCTTGGATCCAAGAGTAATAAGGTTAATGAGCAGCTCTGGGGCTTACTAGCCATGGATCTCAATCTGGCACTGAAAGCCTGGGGCACTTCTGGATAGCTGCTAGTCTTTAGTCTATGTTGGAAGGCCAAAGAAGTTGGGTTCTGTTGGCAGCCAGTAATGGAAGCAGCAGCAATAACAGGGCAGATGTGCAAAATTATACCAGCAGGTGGCAGCACCTCTTTCTTGGACCCCTCTGTTTCTGGATTGCTGTGGGAAGATATTGCACACCTACAACCAGAGAGAGTATTCCCCACCCAGTTAATCCTCCTTTGAAATCCCCTTAAAGACTTCCCTCCAGTATCTCTCTTCATTGGTTCCAGATCTGATTAAGTTCACAAAAAAGAATAATCACCACATTGATCAGTTGACTTTGATTCTATCATAAAGGATATTATTATACATAAACCTAGAATAATTATGTGTGTCAATTAAAAAAAAACTCAAAGAACTTGACATCTTTGCTTCTCTATTTTCTCAAAGAAAATACACTATCATTTATTCTAAACCAGAAAAAAAAATTAATTCTGCCCTGTGAGCATCAAAGAGGACCAAAATTTCCATAGGATACCACAATCCAGCCAACAACACAAGCATAGCCTATGACTTACAATCCAGGACTCAACAAAACTATATCCCTATCTTGACACATGGAGGCTGACAGACAATAACAATGTGGGTTTCTTCTCTTTTTTAAGATCCTTAGTTTGTGTAACTGATTACTATGCAATAGAAAATGTTTGAATCATCTTCCAATGAAGTCCACTTCTCGGCCTACCAGGGTTCTAACAGGTCACTTTGCATCCAAGAAAAGAGGGGGGCACAGCAACACAGGCTTCTACTGTACTTTAAATGATCACAGAGCATCCCTACCCTAAAAATAAATTCATACAAAGGAATGTGAGAAATGGAAGTCCAAGTTTCAAACATATCCTCTAGATCACGAGACCCAACGAGACAAAGACCTGGCCAGAGTCTGGAAGTATGATTCTTTGCTGCCTGTGCCCTGAGCTACTGGCTGCCCAACCCTGCCTGCCCTTGGGAGTTGGAGGTGAGGTGACACAGAAACAATGACATAGAGTCCAGGAGCAGGTGAGAAACACTGTAGCCAGTGTGAACACTTCTACAAGCTCCTTTCATAACCTTCACTTGTGCCCCATTGGTCCCAAGAAAGCACCTCTTCTCAACAGCAGTTCCTGATTGACTGGCATTGTCTTTGTCGACAATCCTGGGTCTCTCAGGCAGTCCTCAGTTAGGTACTCCTGCAGGAGATGCCTTTGCAGCTGCACTGCCCCCAGCATTTACATAGAAGTCTCCACTGCCATTCCTCCTACAATTCTTGACATAGACTAACTCCTGGCCAGTTTGGGCCTCTTGAATGTCACTTGTTCTTTCACTTTTTCACAGACCCCTGACCCCAACCTCCATATGTTCTCATGCCAGAAGAGAAACTGAATGTGACAGTGCTGTAAACTTGGTAACAGAAGCCAACTCTCTCCAAGTGATTGCCATATTGATCCTCTTACAGCCTGAAATTCTGTGTAGCTGAAAAAAATACAGTCCCACATTTGATTGTAGAAAGAGAATAGTCTCTCAAGTTGGCCTTCTAGGCTAGCTCCCAAACATGGGCTGTGGATGTCCAGATGAACAGCTTTGGATAGTCTGGTTTGCAGATGGGATGACGATTTCATGTTTGTTTGTTTGTTTGTTTTTATCAGATGGCATGGGTGAGTTATCTTGTCATGTTCAGGACTTCCAGGACCTGGAAAGAAAGCTTCATTGATAAAGCACTTGCAGTGGGGACCTGGGTTTGACCCACATGAGAAAGGCAAGCATGGCTGTGAGTATATGTAGTCCTGGAGAGGCAGAGTCAGGTAGATAGATACCTGGATCTCACTAGCCAAACAACTTAACCTACTTGACAAGCTCAAGATCCTAGCAAGTCACCCTGTCCCAAAAGCAAGATGGATGCTTCCTGAGGGATAACAACTGAGGTTGACATCTGGCTCCAACACATGTGCATACACACGTATATGCATAAATACACATATATACCTACACACCATGTCTACATACACATACACCTACACACACCAACACATACCTACATACACACCTACACACTTATACAATATTATACATATCTATACACACACACACACACACACACACACACACACTATGGGATTGAATCGAGTAATATCTAATGTATGCCTGTGGGGGACAGGTGCTCTGCCTGCTAGATAGTTTTTGGTAGAAGTAAGCAATGAACCCTAAACAAATTACACCATGCAGCAGGTCTCGTGTGAGAGGCTTATTTTGGGGGATGAAACAGAGGCAGCCTCTGAGAGAGGAAGGAAAGAAGGGGTTGTGGGGAGCAGGGAGAAAGAGGCTTTTATTGGTCCCATGATGCACGAGCAAAGGGACATGTGACAGGGGCCATGATGCATGTGCAAAGATACAGACACAGAATCGAAGCTGTCACCTCTTGGGCTGCTAGAGATGAGGTGACTCGTCTCTAGACCTGGGTTCCTCGTGGGCTAGCTATAAAGATGCCTGATTGTCCTGTAGTCATTTTAGCTGTCCATGGATGTGCCTGACTGCCAACAGTTTGCAACTTGGTTAGTTGAATTCTCTTCTAGGGGCTGCAGAAGAAGGCCTGTCAAATGCTGACAAAATTTTATTTATACCTCTTCAGAAATGTAGAAGCAGACACAAAGTAGGAAACTGAAACCAAGGAACTAAGATGAATCTAGCTCCATGGTCTCAGTCACTGTATTTACCACCTAGTGGCTGATTCCCTCTCATCCCACCATCCTCGGACATGCATCTAGAAGCCTGCCTACAGCCACACATACAAGATTCTGTACATTTCCAATCATATACCTGTGCAGAGAGGCCTGCCCGAAACAGTCAAGCATGCCCTTGTGTTCATCTTTGGTCAGGGTGCCTTTAGAGAAATGGTGTACAAGAATGAGTGAATTGTTTCCCTTGCCTTTTCTGTATGACTGACAGTTCTGGGTGATTTGAATTACAGGTTAAATGAATCTGATGTCAGCAGCAAACCCTCACAGGGGTGCTTCTGTCCATTCACCAGTAACTGTAGGAGGAAACATTTTCTACCACGCCACTGAAGTCCTGACTTCCGGAAATATTTCATTTATTCAGTCACTAGGCTGAGATATACTCGCCAGTATCAGAAATTTTTCCTAGATGCTAGAATCAGAGTGGCGTGCAAAAATAATAAATTCTAGACCTCTTAAGGAAGATGAATAAGAAAACTTAGAAACATGTTGCTCATTAGGATGATCTTTAGTGATTAGGATGGCTTTCAACACAACCTCATCTCTGAAGCTTTTCACCATGTCCCAATAATTCATTTTTGTTACATAATAAAATGATTTAATCAAGTTTACACTTGTTAAATTTTGAAGAAAGTCTGGTGCATTCTAAATGAAAAAAATGTATCATTCTTCTGTTATCTTAATTGGCAGCCAATAATTATGTACATATTAGAGTGCTTTGTTATCTCTGGGATGACTTATGAGGATAAATAAAGTACCCATCATCTTACATTCTAGTCAACTGACTTTAATGAGATATTTAAAATCTAACATTTTAAGAGTTTCTAAACATATTTTATTTGGGAAATGATAACCAGACTACACAATATGATTCTAAACATTATTCATTGTATGTTGCTGAAACTTTATGTTCCTTGGACAAGTAGTTCTTCATTTCATACCCCTGAGACTTCTGGCCTCATAACTTGACTTCTTTCTCTCCTCTAGTTTGCTTCATTAGATTCTGCGTATAAGGACATGATGCTCACATGGCGTTAGTCTCTCTGTGCCTGGCTGATTTCACTTGGCGTGTGGAACAGATGCACTGAGGAATACACTTTAGCATAAGCTACTAATGTAGTCTTATTGCTAAATTCTCAAATTGTGACTTGTAGACGTAATGTCCACATTCATATCTTCTAGTAGAAATGAGTGATAGGTCCTCACATCAGATGGACCTGGTGGTGTATGCCTATAATACTAGATATTTGGAAGGATTAAGCCTCACAAGTTCAAAGCCTGCCTGGACTAGAGAGTAAATATAAGACCAGCCTGAACTATTCAATGAGATCCTGGTTGAAAATAAACATTAAAATGAAGGCTGGAGATACAACTCAGGGTACAGTGTTTGCCTTCCCTGTGTAAGGCCTGAGAATCAATCTGAAAACAAGATCTCCATATAAAAGTATTTAATAAATCGTTGTAGAAAGTAGTACTTATGACATGACTTTTTGTATGCTTGTTAGTAAGAAAAATATTTAATAAACCAAAATATGTTAATCATTGTATAACATTTTCCAGACACAAGAATAGATTTTGGTGCTGGACATTGAACAGTAAGCAAAATATATGTTCTTCATGTTAGCTGATTCTGAAAGTGCCTAGTGATAAAAGGCTTTTAGCAGTTTTCTTCTAAAGGGAACAATGTGTTAAGTTTCCCAGTAGAGGGAGCAGAAGAGTTACTGCATCAGCAAGAGGAATTGTGATCTCTGGCACCAGGCACAGACCCACAACAAGTCCATTCCAAGCCTGCATCCTCAAATTTGGAACACAGATACCTTCTGGTCAAGATAAGGAGATGCTCACCACGACCAGCTGCGTGCTATTTTTATTGACAATCCTTGGAATATCTGAACACAGACAGCCTCCTGTGGCTGTGTACTTTCTCTTCCTGTAAACTTCATGCACTCTGAAGAGCATTGCCCCAACTTGGACCCAAACATTCACTGCACAGCAGTGACACTGGTGCTGATTACCTACACTTAAGAAAATGGTGAATTATTTGTTATTATACTGCAGACTCATTCCAGCCTGGATAAAACTACAAACTTCTTTCAAGTGGTCAAACCACACTTCCTCCAAGAAACAAACCTGTTCCAAATTTGTC